GGGGCATTGGGCATTCAACGGGTATTCCACATGTCCCCACAGGCCAAGCTGTTGGGAAGGATGAAAGTTTGACAAGAAAGTCTCACAGATATGTATGCTTAACAGAAAGATTTTTGAATGTAGAAGCTGAGGAAGGAATAGTGATGGAAGTAAATTTTGATATAGAAGAAAAAAATTGCTGAGTCAGTCTTACTGGATAACCAAGGAGGCAAAGGGTATGTTAGTTAGAAGGGGGTTTTTATGACTTAGAGCAAAGGATAAACCCACCTCAAACAAGAAGATGCTTTTACCAAGCAGAAAGATAAGCACAGGCAAACAAGTCAGCAAATGTTGCAAGAAGAAAAAAGGTCTCAGAATTTTCCACTGCAAGAAAACTGAAAAACAACTTCTAGCTTAAACTGTAATGTACTAACTTTTAGTGATTGGAGAATAGTAACATGAATATGGTAATTATAGTAGTTGTGATAGGCTATAGATAAAAGCTAAGGTATAGATTGGTTCTATTGTATTAAGATGCTCAGTAAAGAAAAGTATATAATGCATTTGTAACCTAAACTCGGGGTCTCCAGGCCTGCCTGCAGATGCAGCTGACAGCTGTAGGTACAGGCTCTGTCACCCACAACCCTGGACTGCTGTAACATCTTGGACGTAATAAACTGCATTTGGAAGAGCTGCCTAGAGTCCCGCATCTCTCGTTCAGGCTCTTACACCAAGCAAATATACGTCAGGTTCAAAAACAAAAAGGGGGAATGCAACAGGAGTGACCTCAAGTGAGATTAGATAAAGCTGTTTATGTGTTAAACTTTTTGCGTCCTCTACCTGACTCACAGTTATCTCCAATTTTTTACCATTTTTCTTCTTTGAATTCTAAGCAAACAGATCTCCATAGAAATGTTAAGGTATGGGTTAAGGATTTAATTACTGACATATGGTCTGGCTCAGTGGAATTAATAACTGGGGAAGAGGTTATGCTTGTGTTTTGACAGATAATGGTCCTCGATGGGTTCCTACTCACTGTGTCAAACCTTATCTGGAGCGTGCAGGCAGGGACAAGATGGATGGCTCCGCAGCTGAAGCAGAACGTGCGGATGACACTGGCTAAGGCTATATCTAGATATATAAATCAGGATATGTATCTCATTACTCTTCATGTGCTTTCATAGTAATTAAAGGGTGTGGCTTTGGTCTGGGCTGACCAAGACAATGCAGGTTTGCATTGTCTTGGTCAGCCCAAACAACCTTTGTTCTAGTATTCCTGCAGCTCCTTTTGAGCACTTTAGGGTGGTTATAGTTCATGGTTTTATAGGGTAAAGTAGTTAAGAAATTTAAAAGCACTTATAGATGGATGATTGTACTAAGAATGGGGATGTTGATTTTGTTGATGGTTGTGATTGTTGTTCTGTGTTTCCCCTGTCTGCTTGGATTTTTGCAAAAGGCCCTGCAAAAATCCATAGCAGCTGTGTTTAAAAACAAAATGGGGGAATTGTGGAAGGGGCTAACAGCGGGCCTGTTAGCTAAAGGAGCGAGAAGAAGCTGAGAAGAAAGAAGAAGCTGATAAGGAGTTCTCTCCAAGGTTGTAACCAAGGAGAGCAAGAGAACTGAGGAACTGAAGAAAGACAAGAAGAGAACTTTACAGCTGCAGAAAGTATTTTTAGAAAGCTAGTTAAGTCATTGTAACTTTTCACCAATGGTGTTATGTTGATTTATTGTGTCCAATAGTTAGGGTCAAAGAAGCATAAACAATTAGAAAGTGTATAAAAGGTCAGCCATGTTCGATAATAAAGAGTTGCCAACTGAGACTGCTTGTGGTCTCTGCTTTGTGTCGTGACTGCCTCGACAGCGATAAGGGATGCAACCTTAGGGATGGACATTTGGGATAGCATATAAAATAATACTTGGGGGCTGACCCCTCGCCTCGGACTAATCACTCAACAACTTGGACCGAAAGTTCTCCATAGAAGGGATGGGATGCTGAGTGACTGACAGAGAGCCAGAGCAGGGATTTGGGGATGATCTCAACACAGGAGAATGATTACACAGGTAGAGGGAGGGGTACAATTAGGGGTACACAATTTGGGGAAAATAAGGGGATACAAAACCAAAACTATTACAGAGTATAAAAGCACACTACAACAATAGGTCCATAGAATATTCTGTGATACAGACAGACTGATAGTTATGAGGGAAAAGGAAATAGATGTGTTGCCCTTTGGTGTTACAAGTAATGGGAACCATATAATGACATTTCAATTCAACTAGCTAAACAAGAAAAATAGAAAATATGCAGAGCTCTTAAGTGCCTTTCTCCAAATTACTGTTTAATTTTCTGATAAGAAGATCTTCTCAGACATCCTTGACATGTAAATAATTATGTAAATTTCTGTGCTCTTCCAATTAATCTGCAAGGTCTGTTTTATGGAAGTAGAAAAAGAAAAAAAGACTTTTTTTGTTTTTCTCAAAGGTGAAACTCAAGTAAGCTCCATTATTTTTAATGGGCAATGTAACTGTCTCAGGGTCTTTCACTGGCCCTCAAATTCTTACCTTTTACGTATAAGACAAGAAAGTTCCATATTCCTTTTGTAAGTGAAAAAGGTTCTACACTTTAACTCAGAATGGGAAAATATAACCCAAAGACACAGCTTTCAAAAGCTGCTGTATATCATAACGATCACAGAACATCCCAGTTTTTTAAAATTCTGTTTCCTGACTTTGACTCTAACCAATAAATTAGACATCAATTACTAATAGTCAGGAATTCTAAAAAGATCTAAAAATGACTGCCAGTTTCCACACACAGGCTTGAAGTTGTCACACTTCATGAAAAAAATTGTCTCATAGCTGTCTTGAAGCAAATTTTTGCCTTCAAATTTTTTGGATACAAGGTTTTTGCATTTATATCTGACTTGAATACTGAACAAATCTATGCATTTCAATGATTAAACAACCCCCACCCCTCCCCCACACCAAAGAAACAAACAAATATTCAAGGACTTCAATAATTCTTTTTCTTTCAAAATAAAAAACATAAATTGATAAATTGCTCTATTTTTTTTGTTTCTATCTGAAAACTCAAAGACTATCTTAATCTGCTGATTATTAAGAACACTAGCTTCTGATTCAGGAAAAAAAAACCTTCAAAAAACAACTTTCCCTACACAGCACTAGAACCCTTGGTTTTAAGGATGCCAGTTTTGCCAAGAGGGCATTTTAAAATACTAATATTGCCCTGCCATAGTTTTTACTGACCAAGGCAATCCTTTTTTCTTTTCCCCTCATGCTTTGCATCTGACTTGCAGTTTACTACACTGTATGTCATCGTATCATCTAAGTGAGCAATCCAGCATTGTTAGACTTTACACAGTCCATGAATCAAGGACATTTCTACAGGACAATTTAACATCAGTGACTATCTTTCTAAGAAATGTTCCTCCTTGACTTTTGAATATAACACTTTCCTCTGTCATATGTCCCTGTGCTGCAAATAAGTTGCTTGGACTTGTCAAGAGAAAATATATCTCACAGGAATTCATAGGATAGAAGCAGGGTGATACTTATTGGCACTGAGAGGACCTGAATCAGTCAAGCTCTGTTGAAGTCATAAACCTTGTAAAAAGCTATCATGGAAGCTTATTCACATGTTCCATGCTCCATCCCTACAGCACCTTCAGCAAAATCTGTTGTTCACATAATCCGAAACATTATTCCCATTAAAAGCCTACAATTTTTCAAGTGGGAGACACGTGATAGTTTAATGCCTCATATGCTGCTTAAATCAGTTTTACACTTTCCAAATTCAGGCTAATTTTGTGACATTTAATCTGTTTTCTCAGTTAATGAACAACTAAATGTGTTAACTTGTTAATAAGTTAACTAATCACTGTTTTCACAGTATCTATACGTGATTTTATATGACCCAATATGATTGATACACCGCTAAGTTTAAGGCCTCTGTGATAATGAGTCTGCTTCTGAACAAAATCTGATTGTTGCCCCTGTTACTTCAACTGCAGATATATATCTGCACAAGGCTTCTTTGCTACTCTGACATTTTATTCATTCCCTTCGACACAGTGCCAAACGTTAAAGAGCTCACCACCAATCCAGATTTCTCATTCTATAGGCACACTATACCCCTGAAATCTTTCCCGAAGTATACAGTAACAAACCAAACAAAGAAACAAACAAGCCAAGAAAAAGAATCTTGTAATGGATTCTAACAACTAAAGGATTATCCTATCAGGACAGCGTTTAGTCAAGGAACAATGCGACACAAGAGCAACAAATTTATGGAGAGTTATTCTGTAGCATCACCCTAAATCAGGGTCCTGTCATCCATGTTCACTGGCTTTGTAATACTGACTGCTCCATCACCTTTGGCTGTGGTCCGTCTAGACACAGCCCTTTCTTGGTCTTTCCACCACTGGACCACAGCTCAAGCAAAAATTAGAATTTTCAGGACCTACCACTTTTCAAATCATCCTTTTGCTTATTGTTGAGGAATACACCTGCTACAGGTAGCTCGGTAGCATCGGAGGACCAGGTCCTGCACCGTCAACAAGCAAGACATCTGAGACTGCTGTGGGAAGTCCGGTCTGACTGCGCCAGTGGTGTGTGTGGGGAGATCGGGGGGACACATCGGGTCACAGGATCCGCCGCTGCGAAGGTGGCTTCGGTGTCAGCAGTGGCAGCTCTGGCATTGGGAAGTGGCTGCCAGGGACTCTCATAAATGGTCACACTGGGAAGTTTCCTTAACATTTCTCTTTTCACTAAAGTCAGTTATAAAATTTCGGTTCTTTTGTACATAGAACCAGGCTAAAACAGAGGACTGGTTTAAAAAAACTATCCTGCCTTAAATTTGTTACATTCGAAGTAGCCCCTCACTCGCGCCCAAGCACTACTGACTATCCAGAGAAAAAGGGTGCTGCCCACAAAAGAGATGTGGCGACACGGAGAGGGAGTGGGGGGGCTTCCGCTTCCGGCGGCCGCAGTGACGGCGGCGGGGCCCGGCCGCACTGCGCGGCCGTGCTGGGCGGGAGGCAGGGGGAGATGCGGTCGCCGGCGCTGCCGCGGCTCCTGGTGGGGCCACTGCTGGTGTTACTGCTGCTGCTGGAGGCCGCCCGCTGCGGGGAGGCTGCGGCCCCAGACCCCCGGGACGCCGTCACCGCTTCCCCGCGCCCCACGGAGGCGGCCAGCGGGACCTCCACGCGGAGCAGCAGCAGCGGCAACAGCAACAGCAGCAGCCGCCTGGCCGAGGTGTCGGCGCCGCCCGAGCAGGGCCAGCCCATGACCCAGCGCGCCCTATCCGTGCTGGTGCTGGCCAGCGCCGCACTCATCGTCTACTTCGTGATCCGGACCGTGCGGTGAGGGCGGGGAGTGGTTGTGTGAGCGCGGGGTGCGCAGCTGCGCGGCCGGGCTGCAGAGCGTGTCGGCCCCGCGCCTCCTGAGGAGCCAGCGAGTAGCGCCCGACAGCTCTGGGAAGCTCCCGGTGCCATCTCCCCCGTGTGGGCGGGGAGCAGCTCGGTCTGCTCCGCTCACGTCGCCGAGAATCGCGCATCAGTGTTGGGCCTTTCCCGACTCCCTCCTGTGCCCTCCGGGTGGACTTGTCACTGGTGGCATCCGTCAGCCCATCTAAATTTATTTTGTATGTTCTTACAGTGATTTTTGATAAGTTTGCAAACTTCTGTATTGCTAAACCAAAGTTGTCCTCCCCGACTTTGTCAGTAAACATCTTCCGTCTATGCTTTCTTTCACAGTTAAATGAACCTATTTTGTGCCTTTTAAAGAAAAGGGCACTTATGAAGCTTGCTACCACTTACCTGTCTTTCTGTTTCTCACATAACTCGATGTGCTTTTGCAGTGTTTGTCCCTGTATTTTTTTTGTCCTGGTAGTTTTACTTCTCTCTCTCATGCTTTAATAACTTGAATTCTTCAGAGCAAGGCCCAAATGTATGATTATGCATAAAGCACCTCAGTTATGGAGCAAGTTCTCCATGCACTTTTCATTACATTTAGATTTACCCATTGTGTCTAATATCTGCATCATTTAGTTTAGAAAGGCAGTTTAAGGACTGTTTTTTGTGTATCATGTACTAAGATACACAGTCCAAGTAAACTAGGATATTTTGATTGTTTCATACATCTTGCAAATCACACTTGCGAAGCCTTGAGGGCACTTCTCAGTGTTAGTGTATCTTGTAACGCCAGTCTGTTAGATTTGGAGATGTGAGTAGTACTGTGGAAAGGCCAAATAAATAAATAAATAAAATTCTGTCATTGCAGGAGCTGGAGAGGAAAATTATATCTATTGCCATTATTTTCTGGATGAGTGGTAATTACTTGATATTCTGGTTTTGGCAGTATATCTGTTTTGCTATTCTGCATTTGCAAGAGGACTGCTGTCTTCTAGGTGCTACTGTAAGCTGGAAGCTTTACACCTCAAATTATTCTGTAATTCCGTGGCATCTTGCTTCTGAATTTTGGAATAGGTAAAGTGTATGTTTTTGAATTTGAACCTGTAGCTGAAATGTTCTTGCAGTGGTTATATAAGAAATACAAGGATTAAGTGCAAATGACCCATTTTTTTGGATGGGCTTCCTTGGCATGAAGGCATATCTTGTTTCAAGACATAAAACCTTTTTTGCAAACTTTCTACCAAACTTTCTACTTTCTTGCTTGCCCAGTGGATGAAGGGAAGAAAGTGAGTGTAGTGTTTCTGGATTTTAGTAACGCTTTTGGTGTTGTTCTTCACAGTACCCTTCTGGACAAGCTCTGTAGCTGTGGGGTGAGCAAATTTGTGGTGCACTGGTAGAAGAGAGAGGTAAATGACAGGGCTCATAGGGTTGTAGTAAGGAGAGGTGCATCAGGCTGGTGCCCAGTCACTAATGTTGCTCCTCAGGTCTCAGTTCTAGGGCCAGCTTTGCTCAATACTCTTATCTAAAGACAGAAGTTGAATGGGCCATTAGCAACTTTGCTGATGACACCAAAGTGGGAGGTGCAGTTGAGTCTTTCAAGGTGCAAGAGGCCTTGCACAGGAATCTGGGTAGATTGGCGCAGTGGGAAGTCACCAGTGGCAGGACATATAACAAGAACAAATGCTGGGCTCTTCAGCTGGAACAGGATACTAGTTTTACTTGGGAGAGAAGCAACTGCAGACCAGCCATGCAGAGAGAGATCTCAGGATGGTGGTTGACAGCAAGCTCAGTATGAGCCAACATGTGCCCTGGCAGCCAGGAGGGCGACTTCACCCTTGGGTGCATCACACACAGCACAGCCAAACAGTCAAGAGAGGAGACTGTCTAACTTTGTTCAGCATTGTCACTTCTTATGCAGTAAGAAGCATACTAAGACATGAATACAACCAGACTGGAGAACCAAGCTGATGAAAGAGCTGGAAGGCTTGTCCTCTGAGGAGCGGCTGAGGACTGAGTTTGTCTGCTTTGGAGAAGATGAGGTCTGAGGGGTGACCTCATTGCTCTCTGAGGTGCCACTGATCCTTGAGGAAGGAGATGCTCATCCCTTCTTGCTGAGATCCAGCTTATAGGATGCAGGGGAATGATTCAAAGTTGCACCAAGAGAAGTATAAACTGGACATTAGGAAGCATTTTTTTACTGGTAGTGTGGTCAATGACTGGAACAGGCTTCTTAGAAAGGGGATTAGTGTTTAAGAGGCATTTGGACAATACCAATTTGGATTAAATTTTGGATTGATGAGGCAATTGACATAGTAGTTGTAGGTCCCTTCCAACTGAGCAGTTGTCAGCCACAGAGTAAAAGATCTTAAGTTATTTTTGTTAACACTCAAGACACTGCTTTAGAGTCATGGCTATGATCATACATGCATGTTGCATAAACATCTCCAGTATTCCTGTAGCTGTAGTTTTTAAACTACTTAGATAGAGAAGGGTTTGAGTTGCAAGTGATTAGTATGTTTTTTCAACACAATTTGCTTGAATCTAAAATCTGTGCCAGCTTTGTGATAAGTTTTATTTGCATTTTCTACAACCTAGACATTTTGTCTTAGGTTACTCTCAAATCACAGTAGCTACTCACTTTCCATTTTAATCCTTTATGGGAAAAAGGTAAAATGTAAAGTGAGATTGACAGAAATATTGACTGTATGAGTAGCATGTACTACCTCTTCTTAATTTCTTTTTTTTTTGTGTGTGTATGTGTGTGTTTTTAAAATAGTTTCTTACCTGCTAGGCTATCCACAATGCTTGTCCTAGTCCCAATTGCTTAACTTCTACTTTAGTGAAAACCAAAGGCACAATATGTAAGAAACAACCCTATTTTTCATCATACTGTCTTCTTAAATGTTTTAGAATTTTATTCCACTTGGTGCTTTGAAGTAGAACTTCTTTAGAACTTCTTTCTATGTTGAGGAATAAAAAACAGATGAACTAAATGAGGAACATGGAAAAGACTTTGTCTTGAACTGAAAAGTGCAATTTTTTGTTTTGGTAATAGCCTTAGCTTTAAATGAAAAAGCTGACTATTTTGTTCTGGTCTGAAGCACTTAAATGCCTGGGATAACAGTTACTGCATTTTCACATCATAATTGAGAGTGGAGGAAATGGCCATGTTGATTATTTCTTATAACATTAGAAATTTGAGAACTTTGAAGAATGGTATGTACTTTATCTCTTTCACATTCTTACAAGGTTACATTTACTTCTCAGTTCCAAAAGGAGATATATTTTCTACATTGGAGTATAGTGAAAAGATAAACCAAGATTGAATGCTGTTGTGTGTTCTTTCAAGAAGGGTATTTAAACAAGTGTAAGTACACTAGAGTTTCAGGGCAGGATTTGAAGTTGAGAATCTCAGTGTTTGATATCGCTTACAAGATAGTTAAAATGGTGCCTAAATGTGGGACAGAGAAGTCACTATGCACAGTATATAATAGTATAATGTGTTATACGTAATATGATAGCAATACCGTAATATTGTAATACATTAGTAAATTTTTTTATATTAGTTCAGAAATACTCTAGGTTGAAGTTCCTGAATGCAGTAAGCATGTTTGGTAGGCACCGAGCTTGGGGTTGTAAATTCTGGAGTTTCTAAATGAAAGAACTGTTACCACCTTTGCATTTAGCACTAAATACCTAGACACAAATTCTTTGGGTTTTTTTTAAGTCCTATAGCTTTCATGAAGTTGTTAGCCAGTTAATGAAAGTGACTATGTCAGCATTCTGTAAACAGATGTCTTTGCACAGTGTTTGGTGAGTGGCTTCTGGTCTGAGTTCCAGAACTTGAGCAAGGCTTGTTCCATGGGTGAAAGAGTAGTTTAGGAAAGCCAAAGGAATGGTTCATTGTGTGGCTGATGCACATGGGACCCAGGCCCATGCAGCAAAGCTGTGGAGAGAGAGAAAAGCAGATGCAGACTGCTTGTCTGTAATAAGCACTGTGGCTTAATCCTGAAACATAAGTTACTGCCTCTTCCTTCTGTGCTTTGTGAAGCAGACAAGAAATTGACTCTACAAGATCTGTCTTATTCTAAAGTGTAATTATAGATGATTTTATAAACTTGATATCTATAAAAGACTTCACAAATTCTAATAAAAATTTCTAGTGTCAGCCATGACATGTGTTATAAGTTATAGCATTGCTATAGCTGTGTTTGGTTTCTACCTGATTTGATCTGCTATTCTTTACAGATCTGTAAGACACATACAGAATATGTAGCAAGCCAATTTTTTTTTCAGTAGAAGTATGCTTTTGCATATATTTTTTTATGTGGCTCTTATATTTAGATGCTAAGTGCCATTTTGTATTCACTACATTAATCCTGTACAAAACTACAGATGACATCTTAGTGGCCTTAATAATTTCATGTAAGCTGTTGACACTTAGAACTGTCAGACCTCTGAATTTCATAGAGCTAAGTGTGTACACTTATCATAGATTTTAGAAAACTTAGAGTAAGTATCAATATAGCAGTATTTTACATTATTGGATCAGAACGTAGCAAAAGATTTACATTACTTGAATGTTTTAAAATACTTTTCAGGCTCAGAAGGCAAAATAGAAAAACCCGAAGATACGGAGTTCTGGATACGAACATAGAAAACATGGAGTTGACTCCGTTAGAACAAGATGATGATGATGATGATGATACAACACTATTTGATGCCAGCCATCCTCGAAGGTTTGTATTTAGAACCTGAAGGTACTTCTAGCTATAGAAGTGAAGGAGTGTGGGTTATAAGTAGTTTCTCTGAGAAAGCTCACTACTGTGTTTCATATGCATAGTTGGAGAAGGGATGTCAAGATCACTTGAATTTTAAATGGGCAAGAATTTAGTGGGCAAGAAGATAAACACCATTTGTCTTCAACATGTGAGTTCCAGAGAAATGAAGAGGAAGGTAGGATATTTTTGTTACAAATATAGTGTCATTGAAGCTAATGTTAAGTCAACAACTAGCTGTTAGCTTTCTCTTTTCTTTTTTTTTCCTAACTGGAGGCTCCCCAGTTTTTCCTGTGTATTCTCACCTATGAGTTCTGCTTCAAGCAGCTTTGCTTCAGTTGGCTTTCTTACGGCTAAAGTAGTCAGCAATTAGTTGATGATGACCCTGCACCAGGTTTTACATTTGGTACTGCTGCACTGAAAGATTTATATTAAGCTATTCTCAGAAACTTTGTAGATACAGGAAAATTTTCTTGTATTTTGTTTGAACTTCCAAAACCAAATTTTGGTTGAACTTTTGTTCTGTTTTCTCAGTGTCCTTAAACATGATCAATTAAAATTTAAATTTATGCAATTCACACTTAAATTTTTTCCTTACTGAGTAATGCCATCACATTGCATGTGTGAAGATACAGTAAAAATAATTGATGGGATTATCATAGTCATAGTTCATAGTAAGGGCTACTTGACTACTGTCAAGTATCAGAAGAGATCAGATTAATTCTTCCAGTCACAGCAAGTAATTGATTCACACTGCTTAATGTGAAATCCGATTCAATCTCAAGCAAAACAGTTTCATAAATGCAATACATGATGTCTTGAATTAAAAGTATTGGAGTGGTAAGTCAGGTGTTCTACATTTTATCAGGAGGAACTTTGGATGCAGTTCTTGCACTTGAAGAGAAATGTTCAGTCTGCTTTAACTTTGTCTCCTTAATGGGAATCTTTCTGATTTAATTTTTTTTTCATAAGTAGAAGCCTCTCTTGATTTTTTTCTCCTCCATACAATAGATTAAAATAGCTAGAGTATCTCAACTTAGCATTCTTCTGCATTTTAGAATTATGTGGCATTTACCGTTACCCTATGTTACTAGTCTTGTTCCAGTACATATATATACACGTACATATGTAAAATATAATAGATAATTGTCACATTATATCCAGGAATTCCCCCAATGTCTTCCTTAAATCTTTTAGCTTCTGTTGTAATTCAGCATACTTGTTGATGTTGAGGTATTTGATGAGAAGTTAACATGATACTCTTTATAAATGCTTATTTACAGGAGTATCAACTATGATTTTAGTAGGAAGTAAAATAATAATGTAGGTAGTCATCATTAACAAACAGTATTATGCAATTATAACTTTCAGAGAGCCTATTTCTGATTTTTCTGCCTTCCTGTTTCCTAAACACTTGATTTTGAAGGAGAAGAAAAATTTGTTGAAGTATTTCATAGTAGAAGCATTTAAACTGTTGTTTCAATAGTGCTCTGAAAGTATGTGCTTAAATTATTGAAGTCCTTGTTTTGATACTGGGAACTCAGGAAAACAAGGACTTCCGTTAGATTTAGTGAAGATGGTGAATTGTCTCTGGTTTTGTGTATTGATATCATCCTGTGTTCTCTTTTATGGGGAGAAGCTTGTAAAATTTTAAGAGCTACATTTATTTGAAATAGTGTTCATGTGTAGGATGAAAGCAGTGCTGAACAATGTGAATTTACTCCATAAATCTCTGTAGACCAGCTTGATAAAATGGTGTTCAAATTTTGCAAAGGTACATCACTGCTGGCAGGATAGTTTGAAAACTAGATACTTCTTTTAATCTTGACTGGGAATGTACTTTTTAAAGTTAATTTATTACCTCTTGTTTCAACTTGTTTGCATCTGCACTGAAGCTTAGTAATCAGTATTCACATTACTGCTTAAGCACAATGACCAAAGGGAATGCCTAAGTAAGTAAAGACTTGATACTGAGGACAACATCATGAAAATAATATCCCCATATTCTCAGGAGATGTCATTACACTTTGTTCTGACATTCATAGTAATTCAGAGGTATGGTTGATTGAATTTTTTTAAGGTAGCTTAAATATATAGTCAGGCCTGGAACCTGGGAACAAGGAAGGAAGGCTTTTAATAAACAAAACGTTTTGAGTTTAGTGCTTTGTTAAATAAAGAACAGTGCAGTTTTACTTAACTTAGACTCAACAGTTGAACTTATTTAGTGCTTAATTTTCTTCCCCTTGCAACTTATAACGGAAGGCACTAAAAAACAATGCAGTTACAGGAAATTCTTTTCTCCATGTTCATTTACATTTGTTATTGACATCAAAGTAGTCAAGTTTTGGTATATGTATAAAAGTATTGTTTTATATATAAAAATATGTCTTTTTTCCTAATTTCTTTGGGACTTGTTAAAAGACTGTAGTTGCACCCAGTCTGCTTTCATTTTTCTTCCTTGAAAATATCAAGCTTTTTTTAAGGTGATACTCTAGAAAATAGTATGCCTATATTAGAAATCCCTATAGGCTTATTTTGGATTAGCTGTTAATTGTATTAGACCCTTTGCAGGACTAGGCAGAGAAACTGGCTTCTCTCCTAAAAATCACTATGGTAGTGTTAGTATACTGGTGTCCAGATACATTACTGCTTTCAAGGATTGCTGTTTTCTTTCAGAGCTGTATGAAAAACAGTCCCCAGTGCCCTCAGCTGTAACATAGACACAATTTAAGTGTACTCACTGTGATCATCATCCATGTTACTAGTCTCTGTGCTGCTGCTGTTTGGGACAGTTTACCAAAAGAGTAGGTTTTAGCCATTTTGCTTAATAGCTTACTATTAAATGCCCAAGTGTGAAATTCTAGTCTTTGGTCTCTTGCAATACAGCTTTACATAGATGCTGACTGAGGGACAGTATACTATTATCACATCTTTGTTTTTCAAAATTATATCACACTACTAGTTTACAGTCCTCAATGACTTCACACAGAAACTACTTGCTCAGTGCTGCAAGGCACAAGGACAGGAATGTACTCTATTTATAGTATCCATAACTGGAATGCTACCAAGACTTGCCAGATTTTCACTAGGAACTCATGAGCCTTGAAGGTTGAAAAATATATTCATCATGGTAAATCCCTCTTTATTTTTGTAAATGAGTTTTCTCTCTGTTTGGAAAGGTTAAATGAATGCAGGTTTATGGTACTTCACAGTAATATGGCAACTATGAGTTTTTCCAGTCAAATTTAATAATAAAATGTCATGTCTCTCTGAGTTCTTTCATAGTGTGTCATCTTTGAAAATGTAGGCTAAATTTGCCTTGAAACAGGGCATTTCAGATTAATGCATCTGTTTCTTCTATTGTAGAGAAGTACATGCCTTTCAGTGAAAGAACTTAATCTTAGAACCAGAGAAGGAGACTGCTTCATGGGAGAAATAAGAAGCAAGAGGGTATGCAAGTGGGGGGGAACTGATTTAATTTGTGTATGTTATGGCATCCTTTTGTATCTTGCAATAAGTAATGTATCAATTTGTTGTATCTTTTTGTATATAGAGATTCTCAATGTATAACCTATGGGGAGAGAGTACTAACTGTGCTAAGATAAAAACCTATTTGAAAGGGAGATTACTTGTAAAACAGGGTATTTTTCCTTGTTACAAGTCTTGTGTGCCATGAAGTGTGGTATACACTTTTTTTCTACAGTAACCTGGAATGTTAATTTTTTCTTCTGATATTAAATTGTAAGTAAATAAAGCCACTGTGGACTTCTCAGTATTGTTAGAACATTATTTTAATTGAGGAGATGATATATTGTTTACCAACAAAAAGCCAAACCACTGCCTTCTGTGTTGAGAATTTTAAAAACTGATTTAACATGTTTTGTTCATGTAAACTTCAGTGAAAAAATAAAAAGTGTTTACAGTGCTCCTAGCATTTAGTGTGATGCTCCAACACTATACGTTTTAAAGTTACTTGGGATATTAATATAATTGTGTAAAACATGCTATTGCAACATCTTCTTGCTGTTAAGACTTCTGATTGCAACTGTTGAGTTAATTTTTTGTGAGGTCTGTCTTCAGCTTGTGTGAGCAGATGTGGCTCAGTGACTTTAGGGTGTTGCTGTGTGATGTCAGTATTCAGACCTGTAGTGAAGCAGAGATAAGCCTTTGGGAAAATTCTAAATATTTTGTAACTCTGAAATTAAACACTGACATCAGAAGCAGCTGTTACTGAAATGTGTGGTAGTACTTTTATGAATGTAGTTGACAAACAGCAGTTATATCTCGTTTTTGGCTAGTGCCATAAAAATTATTAGAACAGTCTTTAAGACCTGGAAGATATACTTTTTTTAATGTGTTGCAGTTTCCACCATAATCTTCATAATGTAGACAAAATGTTCAAATTCTAGTTTAGAATTAATGTGTAATTTTTTTGCTAATTCCATATATTCATATAGCAGTATTGATGGGAGTGACTATGTATCCTCAAAGTGCCTAAGTTATGGGCTACAGAGAAAGAGGAATAATTTTTCCTGATTTCACCCTCTTGGTGATTGAACAAAATTGAAGTACTTTTCTTTGAGGTAATTTCTACAGTGATAGGGTGGAGAGGGAGTCTGCTGTAGATTTTCTTCTACCAGCTGATTTGTTATATTGAAACCTTCTTACTTGCACTAATAACAGCTCAGAGGTCAAATGAGCCTCTCCAGGTAATTTTCACCTGCAGTTGCCCACGCACCACATACAGCTGGGAAATAGATTGTATTTACAATAAATGCAAGTCTTTATTTTCCTTCCTGTTGTACCTAGCTTTTTCTGCTTATGTGTAAAGATAAAACTGAAATGGAAATACAGCACTAATTCTTCGAACTGCTTAGTTGAGGAATCTGGAGACATAGTAAAGAAATAGTAAATAGTAAATAACTGGGTTGTAGACTGCAGGTGAGAGAACAGTAAATGAT